CCCCCCCCCCTCACCGCTCTCATCTTATGGAAGGGAGCTAACAATCCTCTTAGCTTTTTAATGCAATCTTTTTGCTCCTTCATCAGTTCCACTAAACGTCTAAAAAGCCTTATATTCCTTTGATGGTTTGTAAAAGCCGTATTTTTACACCAGTAAGCAATGTACATATCGCAAGAATACAGCTTTCTAAATAGGTTGCTTTAAATGAGCAGGAAGATAGTCAATAAAGAATTATTCCGCTCGCAAAACGTGTACAGCTAATAGGAAGCATACTGTTGAAGCGTGCTGCGCTTCCCTAAACTAACAATGGCGCCGAAAGACACATTACTAACAGAGACATAGAAAAAAGGCTAAAAAACGAACTTTTTCCTTTTCGATCAAGAAGTCCACTATTTTGCCCTTGCCTTCATCGCCAAACTGGGCTCCAAGAATAACAATGACCGGAGCTTTGCGCTTTTGGTCGTTCATAGTCTTAAACGATAAGATTACCGAACAGAAAATGGCTTTCTCGAACGACAAAGGTCATATTACGATACTGAAAACAGTTCACGGAACGACATAAATCAGGTCCAACTAATTAACACTACCTCTGCCAAGCGATTCTCAAAGTAAACCTGAATAGATTACTTATTTCAAACAACATCAGTTTAGAAAAAAAAAAAGAAGTAGCGAAAACAAATCAGTTGTGAAGTTATAAATGACAGGAGACCCCAAAGAGAAATAAGGCAAGATGAGACGATGAGAATAACATTGAAGTTCATGAAAACCCTAATAAAAGGCATATGAACTACAGTAGGTGAGAAACCGAGGGAAAAAGTGGCAACAGAACCCAACGAACGGCAAAAAAAATATAAATATGCGAATATTAGTGGTTATCAAATTTAAACTGGTGTTTAGATGTGAATAGAGGTAGTCGGTGTGAACTGCTGGTGAAGGATAATCTGCGGTTTCTAAACCTAATTGAACCGATTACCTGGGCGGAACGGTTTAATGAGTAATTCGTTGAAAAAGAAATTGAATGGCCACCCAGATCCACTGTGAGCCCGAAGCAACCCCACAAAATGTTTCTAATTCACGTAAACGAAGACTTGTTGTTCCGCAATGCCCTTCTGCCAAAGCCTTCTAACATCGAGTTAAACTGGTGATATGTGGGCAGGGAGAATCAAGACTGCGATTATTACCTGGACGTGTTCTCCGAGCTCTATGGGATCTGGCTCTACAGTTTGCTGGAAACTTGGATGCGGCACTGACGAGAAAAAAGCTCGTTCTGGTGACCGACAATGCCTAATTCCACTTAAAATGACTAAATCAACATCCTACTTTGGTGAATGCGAAAGAAGTGATGATCATACCCTTGAAACGTTATAGAAACCATCTAGAAAAGTTTACGGTGAAGAAAGATTTATTCAGTCTGCCCAGGAAGACAACGCTGAAAAATTAGTTGCAAATATAGATTATCTAAAAAACAAAACGAAATGCTTGAAATCCTTTGGCTGCCCATTTTCTACAGTCAGTTTTCACTAATTGAGTCCGTATAGGATTGGCTGAACTATGAATACACAAAAGCGCACCAAACCATCAAAGTCGAAACCGTAGAAAGCCTTACATTCTGGGCAAACTACATCTCACTAACATACAAGATATAAAGCCAACAATGAATCTTAAGTTTTACAGGTAATAAAGGAAATTTCTTGTTATTTTCTCCCAGATGCTTTAAGTATCGCATCGGCGTTCGGCACATCGAACCTCCTGACATGCCGCTTTTATACGAGTTCGGAAATTACTGCAAATGACAGCCATGCCGAGACATCAGCAAATAGCGTGGCGGAATGTGGTACAGTATGACTGGGGTATCAGTGTTTATACGCTGCAGTTAATATATTTGCAAATTTTTAATTTTCAACTAGAATAATATACGTAACCAGAACAGAGCTAGCAGTTCTCGACTCTGAGCTAAATAAAAATGAAAAAAAAAGGACGGACCAAGCATATGTCAACAGTAGATCTTGAAGAAAACTGGCTAGTTGGCAACAAGAAAGAACGGATTATTCGCTACTTGTCCGTATTTGTGCTACAAGCAGCGAGCCCTTCAGGTGAAACAAGTACAAGAGCTAAGCAATTATTTGATTATTTCTCAAAAGGAAGTTTAAGACAAATAAAGGCTTAACATTTTTCAACTATCTTTTCTGTATTTCCGGTACTAAATAAATACAGATTTAATGAAATGTAACAACTCATAGAATCTTAGGAAGTCGTATGCTGCTATGCAAGGGTTGAATTTACCTCTCTCCGAGAAAAGGGTTCTATGCGTCTACTGATCATAAGAAGAATTGAATAAAAACCCATACGTTACGACACTAGCCACTAGAAAGAGAAACCGGATTTTAACTTATGTCAAAGCTTAACTAAAAATCAGAAATAACGACCGAACGATTCGCCAAACTTTAGCACTTTTTCCTTTAGACAGATTTTTTTTTCGAGACTAAAAAACAGGGTTTTGTATGGTTTTAAAATCCGTATACATTTCACAGAAAAAATATAGAGGATGTGGTTGAGGAATATCAAACTTTTAAACTTCTGAAGCTTTTTTTGAGAATGAATCAAAAAAAAAAAAAAAAAAAACGTATAGTTCCTACACCCGACCTATTTATAGAAGGCGTGGGGTCTGCATCCTGACTCAGACAACTGACGAGTTTTCTAAAGGAAGAGCACCACACTGAATTCGTGACTGACGATTGCCAGAAATTTTAGAATTACTCCAAAAAAATTTTTCTAACGTCTTGATATTGTAAAGGATCAGCTGAAGGAATAATCCAGTGGTAAACTCTCCGTGACCTACTGGCTTTATTTTAGAAAAAGCAGGAATCCATTCTCTGAAATTAGTCTTTGATGTCTAATTGAATTGAAATCTGGTTGAAATTTTTTTTGTAAAGGATGGGAGTCCTGCTGTCCTTCAAATCCCCTCAGCTTCTTGGAGAAATTTTTGCCCAGACTTTTCTGCTATAATCAGTGTTCATTAATGATATGCGTCCACTAGACATCAATTGTATGATGCCTTCTGTTTAAAAAATTGTCCAAAATAAATTTATAGATTTGGAGCAGACACGTGTCAGAATTGGAAGGCAAAAAAAGTTACATATATCGTGTGAAAAATGTCTAAACACTACTCATATAGGTAGAATGTGTGAAGAGTACTTTGGTGGACTGTGTCATCCGTCTTTCTGCTCTTATCCATTTATTTATTCATTTATTTATTTATCTTAGAAATTTTTTGAAGATTTACAGAATAACAAAATAATAAAACTGTTTTTAAAGTTTTATCAGTGTTCTATTGAGAATACACTTGTCAAGCATAGGCCCCAAACAACATTAATTGTTTTGGAGGAAAAAAAAAAAGTAAAAATAAATAAAGAATGAAAAATAAAAAAAGCAGAACATTTACATACGGAACAAACCATTATGTAGATTAAATTTCAGCAAAAATTTCGGTAACAACGCTAGCACTACACGAAATACAATAGTTAGTTATCGTTTGTAACCACCAGAAGTCTCCTTAAACAAATAATGCCGTAAAAATTTACTGACTTTCCCACGTGTGCAAGGTTTTCAGGAATACTGAAGCGAAAACTGCGGTGTTGAAATTATGCCAAAGCCGAATTAAGGTGGCTAATGCTGTGATAAGAAGCAGTTTAAATGAAGAGTGTTTTGTTGAACGATGGTGTGATGGGTCATGTCGATAATTCGCTTAGCTTCTGATTGATCGATGTGAGTGCCGGAGATCAGCGACTTTGCTTTTGGCAATGAAATAGTTGCCGGGAAGGTTTGGTTGTCGATTTGTTTACCAAATCTCTTCAACTGTTACGGGAGAGTCGATTGATTTTTGTAATCTTTTCAGACGCTTATATTTTTTTGCTTCATAAAGTTTTGTGGAGAAAGCGGAAAGCTGCAAAAGACCGTTGAGGCTGATAAACAATTTTTCGCTGTATGCATAGCCTACGTGTTGCTTGTATATTAATTCTGAAACTACATTTTGTTTTTCGGTTTTTGTCCCTGCAGTTTTTCTAATCCTCAGTTGTAGTTGAGAATGATGGTATGGATACTCGAAAATATATGGGCTGTTATTTAAAAAAGACGTTATTAAAATCTCATATGAGATTTAAGTGGTGGAAATTAATGGTTTATTTTATCGTAAAGGGGTCTGTAACAACTGCAGTATGT